GTCCTCCGTTGTTGTTGTTTGAGAGAGATTCCAACCCTAACCCTACCCTAACCTAACCCTAACCCTAACCCTACCAACCCTAACCCTAACCCAACCCTAACCCTAACCCTAACCCTAACCCTAACCCTAACCCTAACCCTAACCCTAACCACCCTAACCCTAACCCTAACCCTAAACCCTAACCCTAACCCTAACCTAACCCTAACCCTAACCCTAACCCTAACCCCTAACCCTAACCCTAACCCTAACCCTAACCCTAAACCCTAACCCTAACCCTAACCTAACCTAACCCTAACCCTAACCCACCTAACCCTAACCCTAACCTAACCCTAACCCTAACCCTAACCCTAACCCAAACCCTAACCCTAACCCTAACCCTAACCCTAACCTAACCCTAACCCTAACCCTAACCCTAACCCTAACCCTAACCCTAACCCTAACCCTAACCCTAACCCTAACCCTAACCAACCTAACCTAACCCTAACCTAACCCTAACCCTAACCTACCCTAACCCTATACTTAACCCTAACCCTAACCCTATACTTAACCCTAACCCTATACTTAACCCTATACTTAACCAACCTAAGTATAATTAACTTAACTTAATTAATTAACTTAACTTACTTAATTACTACTTATAAAAATATATAATTCTTCCTGAAATCGACCAGAACGCCTCCAAACAAACATCCTTTTATCAAACTACCTTTTTACTCCTCGGTTATTTATTATCACATTGAACGTGCTGTTATTAATTTCGGTAGTCGATTGATTCAAAGCTTAGCTAAATAGGTAAGTATATATTGATAAAAAGATATATAATATATAGTAATGAAGGAATCTGGATGCGCGATGGTATATTACTCAAATGTATTACAGACAGTTTCTATTGAAGTAAAACTTGTAGATATCAATGTGTAAGTATGTAAGTAAGTAAGTAAGTATGTAAGTATGTAACATCCTTCACTGTTACCTCTTTACATTCATTCAATCTATACTTTCCTATTCATATCTGGCATATTACTCAAATGTATTACAGACAGTTTCTATTGAAGTAAAACTTGTAGATATCAATGTGTAAGTATGTAAGTAAGTATGTGTGTATGTAAGTATGTAACATCCTTCAATTTTACCTCTTTACATTCATTCAATCTATACTTTCCTATTCATATCTGTTTTCGTTTCACTATTCTATTCTTTCTTCCTTCTTTCTCTTTTCCTTTCATTCTCCTATTTCTCTCTGTTCCTTTCTGTTTTCCTTTCCCCTTACCAGACACCGGCTTGCTTGTCTCTATAGCAATTTCCTTTTCATTCGAAATATTGTAGGTTGCTTTCCATTTCAACTGCGCCATTTCCTTTGCCAGAACCAACTTGAACTGTCGATTATGTTCTTATTTGAATCCCAGTTTGCTATTCCCATTTCCTGACACACCAAGTCAGAGTACCCTTTGCTATTCCAATACAGTTTGCAAATTCAATCCTTATATCATTCACAATTTCAAGGCCGTTTCCATTCCAGTCAGTGTTCCTTTCCAATCAGTGTTCGATTTCCTATTCCAGAACCTTTTCCTCTGCAGTTGATGTACCTTTTCGTTTTCCACAACCTTTTCCTTTGCAGTCACTGTACCATTTGCATTTCCAAGGCGTTTTCTATTTACTTACTTACTTTTACTTTCTTACTTATTTACTTACTTACTTTATCGCTATTGCTATTCTCCTTTTGCTCATTCACAAATGTCCTTTTTCCCATTGCCAAATTTCCAAATTTCCTAACCCTATGCAAAACAAAAAATGCTATAAACGGGGATCATCCCTGTGACGCAGCCCAAGCTTTGGGTAACCGCACCCGACCGAAGTGAAATTAGCTTTGCAGGAGACCACCATGCACTGGTGCCCTCGCCGGCACAGGGAAACAGCAAATGCGAAGGTGGGATCGTCAAAGGACTAGTGTCTTACCTTCCAGAGGGGCAAATGTCAGAACTGGAAGCAAGTGTTCCTCCCTTCATCTCACAAAACTTTTGTGCTTGGTCATAGTTGTTGACTGCACCAGTTTCTCGTTGCCCAAATACTTGAGTATTACCCGTCTTGGGAATTCGTAGACCTGGATTCTCATACCGCCATAACTTGTTGTCAGAATCAATCAGCGCAAACTCGACTGCACTCATGGCAGCAATCTTTACACCCGAATGTCCTTGAATGGGATCAGCCCATGTGGTTGCAATGGCTGTTGACATGGTAGACCTGCGGGCCAATCCAGCACTTTCTTGACCTTTTTGGGCATCTCCCACTCCTGTTGTCCAGATGGTTCCATCAGCAGCGATACTGATATCGCCATTATCACAGGTTCCAATGATATACCAGTCGGCACCTCCATGAGCAAAAATCAAATCCAAACCTGTATCTGGCAAGGAACTACAGGTGGCCACCTTGTCCGGCCCTGAAGCCCCAATCCGGTCTCCAAGTGCAAAACCTGCATGGAGCTCAAAAGAACCATCAAATGAACGCTTCCGCCAAAGGTAGCCAGAATCTGTTCCATCTTTCAATTCTGTCAAAAAAAATGTTCCATCCTTAGTGATGGCTGCATCTCGTGCAGCGGGGCTTGGGATCAATTCCCAGCCTTGGCCACTCCACTGAAAAATTTCGCCCTCTGCCGTTATAATAATGACGTTCGTGCTGCTCCCAACTGAGATGCCAGAGGCACACCCTCTGACTTCCTCCCAGGTGTCTCCTTCTAGTTTGCGGTGGATGGAGTAACAACCATTCATTACGGAGTAGTTCGAAATCTGATCAAAGCACAGAACAGGGGGATCGTTAGATGTAAACACACAAACACGCACACACATACAGACAGATATAAACCCCAGCAGGAAACTCACAACCCAGATTGTGCCATCATATGCAGCACCAACATCTCGAACTGTCACCCCATTGTACTCATGCCACAAGGTCGGCTCATTGATTGCTACTGCGTCTGTTCCATTTGAGACCAAATCTGTGTTTGTTTCACTTGTACCACCACCGTTCAGTTCTCCTCCCTCTGTCTCTTGTGCGGATTCAACTGATGCGTTGAAGATGTTCTGATAGTAGAGGGGTTTCTTCAAAGCAGACCCACTTCCTTTTACTAGTAGGGCCTTTTTATGATGGACCAAAACAGCTGTGCCATTTTCTGTTGTGTTCACTTTTCCATCCCATACGATGTCACCAATAGAGAAGTATCCATTTCCAGTCAACGGTCTCATGACTCGAAGGTCATCAGTAGAATACATTTCCTCAAGATTGGTGCTGTACTTGACCTCAAGAGAACCTTCCTCTGGGCTGATCTTGTAGTATGCCAGTTTGTAGGGAAAGTTGTAACCATCTTCCGAGTAGGCACACAAGTTCCTTCGTTTGCCGTCAGGATACTTGTACCGAGCAATGCTTTGGCTTATTTTTCCATGCAAGTGATGATCTGGAATGGTGAAAAGTTTGTTGATCTTTTCGCGTCGCTCAAACACAGCCTTGGCCACAGTAATGTCTGTACTTGTTGCCTCTCTGTGTTTGTGAAACCAAGAGGTACAGACAATGTAGTTGGATTCCCAACCTTGCTTGTCATCACTGGTGCCCCAATCCGGATCAACTCCATTGAGTGCATCTCTGTGGAAACCGCAAGTTTTGGCATCGCCTGGATGAGTTCCCACCTGGACCCACCCATTGTCATAGTCTGAGACAGGCGTCCACTGGTTTCCTATTTGGATGTCAAAATAGGGCTTGTTTGATCCATCAGGGGGGCAGACATCAGAGCTGGAAGCCAGTTGGAGTTGCCTATCAGCGCAAAATGTCTTGGCTTGTGCATACAACTTGACATCAGCAGTCACATTGGGTCCATACACGTAGACACCCTCCATCTTGCAAATGACATAGTCTGCTTCTCCTTCCAACTTGTCATCTTCTGCTCCCCACATTGGTCCTAATCCGATTCGAGGGTCACCATACGTTGTTCTGTGTCTGGAACACATATCAGCCACAGCATCACCACCAACTTCAACCCAGCCATTGCGGTAGTCCCCAAATGGAGTCCAGTGGACGCCACCAGCAGCACCAAAGTATGGTCTTTTCACAAGAGGAAGTGGGCAGATTTCGTCAAAAGAGGCTAGGATCCCACCCTTCAAATCACAGAAATGTTTGGCATCATCATAATCAATCACCTTAGAGGTATCTTCTGGCCAAAAAATAAACTTGTCCATCTTGCACAAAATGTAGTTGGATTCCCAGCTCTTCTTGTCATCCCTGATCCCCCAATCAGGATCAGTTCCATTGTGTGTATCTCGATGGAACGAACATGTTGGCGCTCCCCCGGGATGGGTTCCCACCTGAATCCATGCATTTTCGTAGTCAGCAGCTGGAATCCACTGATCACCAGGCTTAATACCAAAGTAGGGCTTGTCTGCCTCATAATGCCAGAGGTTGAGGTCGGAATCAATAAGAAGGAACTCTCTGGCACTCACAGCAGCAATGTTCCCACCGTTCTCAATGATCACACCAGAGTGGCCTTGGATAGGAGGATTCCAGGTAGTTGTATGGGCTGTAAAAACAGTTGATCTTCGAGGCAAACCAGGACGAGTTTGGCCAGTTCCAACCCCAGTTGTCCAGACGGTACCATCAGCAGCAACGCTGATGTCTCCTTGATCACAAGTTCCTGTATGATACCAGTGGGAACCACCATGGCTCCAGAGATGATTGCCCGCCAATGTATTGCAAACTACAGCCTTGCCTGAATTGAAACCGGAAATGCGCTGTCCTCCACCGCCAAATTTCACAAAACTGGTATCTGATGTACGCTTGTGGTAGACAGGGCCATAGTCCTGTCCAGCCGCCGCCAATTCTACCATCCAGATGGTTCCATCCTTGGTAATACTGACATCCCAAGCCGGAGGACTGGTGAGCAAAACCCAACCATTGGAGGTCCATTTATGTATTTGTCCGCTCTTGTTCAAAACCACAATTTTCGTGCTGCTCCCAACAGAAATCTTGTGGGAACAGCCACCTATTTCCTCCCATGAATCTCCTTCAGTGTGACGGTGGATGGAATAGCAACAATTTCCATGGTCATGTGTTCCAATCTGCATGGAAGCAATAGGTAAGGAAGATAAGCGATAAGAAAGCGAAGTGAATCCTCACTAGATCAGGTAGCTGTATCAAGCACACATACCACCCAGATGGTTCCATCATCTGCGGCGCCAACATCTCGAGCCTTGATACTGTGCTTGCTCCAGTTATCAATGGCAGGACAGATGTCTGTGCTGGAGGAAAGGGATCCTCCTTTAGACTGGCAGAATTCTTTTGCGTGCTCATAAGTTTTGACATCGACTGTTTCCGTGGGTCCAAACAAGGGTGAATTCGCAGCTTGACTTTTGACAATTGGGACCTTGTACTGCCAGAGAGTCCCAATGGAATCAACCATCACAAACATGTCCGCATGTACAGCAGCAATTGTGGTACCAATCTTGCCAGAAGAAATTATGGTACCAGTCTTGTCGAGCATGCCCATCACAGGTTTGTCCCAAGTTGTAGCTGAGGCACTCATGGAAATTGATCTACGGGGAAATCTACCGGGAACTCCACCAGACCTTGCCAGGCTGCTTGCAACTGATGTTGTCCAGATGGTACCATCAGCAGCAACACTAATATCCCCATTGTCACAGGTTCCTGTTTGGTACCAATGAGAACCACCATAGCTCCAGAGTTTGTTGTCATGTGAGTTGCAGAGGGCAACCCTGCCAGGTCCTGAAGCAGCAATGCGATCACCGCTGCCTCCAAACAACACAAACTCGTCATCCGTGGGAGCCTTGCGGTAGACATCACCAAAGGCCTGTCCAGACACCAATTCTGTCAGAAAAATAGTGCCATCCTTGGTTATACTTGCATCTCTGGCAGCAGGGCTATTGATCAATGTCCAGCCATGCCCGGTCCATTGGTGAATCTCCCCATCAGTGGTGGTCACAATGATGTTTGTGTGGCTGCCAACTGAAATGCCATTGGCGCATCCTCTGACTTCTTCCCACGTTTTGCTTCCAACATAGCGATGGATACTGAAACAGTCAGGCATCACTTCGTAGTTTGATATCTGACTCAAGCAGGGCATGGAAGGAATGTTCAGTTTAGTTTGCAGAGCAACTCAATATGCATTCAGCCAAAGACAACAACGGTCCGCTTCAGTTCAAGAACAAACTTACCACCCAAATAGAACCATCATCTGCGGCATCAACGTCTCGAATCGTCTGCTCCACAGAATTAACCTTGATACCACTGAACTTGTACCAATTGCTTTGGGCGCAATACACATAGTTCCCCCAGCCCGAATCATGACCATGGCCAGTGGTCCAACCATGTTTCGTACAGGTGGGGTACTGATCCCCAACTCCAACATTCACCCATTGTTGTTCTGCGCCTCCATGAGGAGCCCATTGATCGCCTTCTGTCGATTGAATCCCATTGACAGGCTCAGTCCCATCCGGGCAAATCTGTGTTGAAAAGGCCAAAATTCCTCCATGAGAAATACAGAACTCTTCTGCAGATTTCCACCCGCCATCCAGCACCTTCATTTCATTAGGTCCAAACATTTTAATGTCCCCCCACTTTAGTTGCCACCGTTGCTCTGAATTGACCGCCGTAATGTGGGCAGAAGTTGAGCTCGTCATTACAGTAACCGTATCAATGCAATGTGAGTGACAGATTGACAACTGGAACTTACCCACTGCAGCAGTGGAAGCAAATGCGGCATAGGTTGGAGCAATCGTTTGATACTCACAGGGAACACCAGCGGGAGCCAACGATGGGCTGGATGAGGGTGGAGTAGATGGATAAGAGCTTGGTTGTGAACTGGGAACAGAACTCAAACTTGGGACTTGGGACGGTCTATCAGAGGGAGAAATGGACGGCAACCCACTAGGCAAAGATGATGGCGATGACGATGGCGAACCACTAGGTGTGAAGGATGGGGAAGAAGAAGGGGCAGGAGAAACAGTAGGTGCAGGAGTTGGTGTTTGTGTTGGATTGGCTGTTGGAGATGTAGGATGAATGAAGTCAACATCAGAGAAGGGTATCTTATATTGCCAAAGATTATAGCTTGAATCCACCAGTAGAAACTTGTTTGCGTTCACCGCAGCAATGTCTTTACCAGACCTGTCCTGTGCTGGGGTGTCCCATGTGGTAGCGTGGGTTGTTGTAGAGGTGGACCTTCGGGCCAGTCCAGGGTTTCCCTGGGTGGGGACCCCTGTTGTCCAGATGATTCCATTATTGGTCATGGAGACATCGCCATTGCTGCAGGGACCATTTCCATACCAGTGGGAACCACCATGAACCCACAGCACATCTGAACCTAAAGATGGCAATGTATTACAGATGGTGGCCCTGCCATTACTGGAACCAGAAATGCGGTCTCCACCTCCGCCAAACCTCACAAAAGCACTATCGGTGGGACGCTTGCGCCAGACATCACCATAATCTCTCCCAGCCACCAATTCTGTCATCCAAATGGTTCCATCCTGGGTGATACTGATATCGCGAGCTGGAGGGCTTTGTACACGCACCCAAGCAGTACCAGTCCACTTATAAATGTTTCCTCCTTTCTGCAGTACTAGGATGTGGTCTTTGCTGCCCACTGAAATTCTGTAGGCACATCCGTTAATGTGTTGCCAGGAATCTGAGCCTGTGTGACGATAGATGGCATGACAACCACCGCCGAGGTCACCTGGTCCAATCTGCATCAACACAAAGAGAGGGGATGATGAGACATTAGAAATGAAGCTGAACCCTTACTAGATCAAGTTGAATATCAAGCACACGTACCACCCAGATGGTTCCATCATCTGCAGCACCAACATCTCGAGCTTTCAACCCATTGAACTTGCGCCAACGACTGGAGCAGACAAGGTAGTTCGAAGCAAGCTCCCATGATCCAGTCAAACCCCAAAGAGGACCCGGATGATTCGAATGAATTTGACAAGTTGGTTTGCCCCAAGGATTAGTCCCCACTTGGATCCATGCATTGTGGTGCTCAGAGACAGGGGTCCACTGATTCCCCTGCTGGATTCTAAAATATGGTAGGGTGTGTGCGCCTGAGGGGCAGATGTCAGCGCTGGACGCAAGAGAACCTCCTTTTGCCTTGCAGAAAGCTTGAGCTTTGTCATAGGTGTTGACCGCAAGTTCCTTGCTTTTGCCAAACAAGACTCTTTTTGAGGCACAGATGACAAAATTGGCCTCAAAGGGTTGCTTGTGATTTCCATCAACCCCCCACCCGGGATCTCCATAAATGTCCCGGTGGTAACTGCACGACGAAGCAATTGAATGAACTCCCAACTGGACCCAGGCATTGACATAATCGGCAACGGGAGTATACTCAAAACCAGCCCCCTGAGAACCAAAATAGGGCACGGTAGAGTCAAAAGGACAGATGTCTGATCTGGAAGCAAGAGTTCCTCCTTTAGTCTTGCAGAAGGCATCCGCTTGGTCATAAGACTTGATATTGGTGGTGTAACTGGGCCCATAGATGGCGGTCCTCATGTTGCAAATAATGTAGTTGGACTCGTAACTTTGCTTCACAGTCCCGTCAAGACCCCAAGCAGGGTCATGGATTTCATCACGTATGAAAGAACAGGTTGGAGCATCGCCTGGATGTGTGCCCACCTGGACCCATGCATTGTGGTAATCAGAAGCTGGAGCCCAGTGATCTCCGGACTGGATTCCAAAGTAGGGTTGTGCAGAACCATCCAAGGGGCAGATATCAGCCAAAGAAGCAAGAGATCCTCCCTGTGATTCACAGAATTCTTGTGCTTGATCATAGCTCTTGACATCACTGGTATCAGGTGGACCAAATACCCGAGTGATCCCGGTTGCTTCTCTCTTGGCAGGAATCTCATACCTCCAAAGATTAAACTCAGCATCCACCAGGTAGACCTTGTTGGCACTGACAGCTGCAACGTTCGTGCCAGTTTGACCAGGAATTGGACTCGCCCACTTGGTGGAAAGGGACAACATTCTCGTGGATTTGCGGATCAGTTCGGGATTTGCATGGCCATGGGGCACTCCCGTTGTCCAGATGGTTCCGTCAGCAGCCATGGAAACATCACCATTACTGCACTCTCCTGATTTATACCAGGTGGATCCAGCACGTTGCCAAAGACCGGTAGAGGTACAAAGGGAAACTCTGTCATCACTTGTACCGGAAATGCGATCACCAGCGCCACCAAAAACAGAGAATCCAGCATCACCTGTCCGTTTACGCATGACATTTCCCCAATTAGTCCCAGCCACCAATTCTGTCATCCAAATAGTTCCATCCTTGGTGATACTGATATCCCGAGCTGGAGGGCTGTTGATATACGCCCAACCATTGGAGGTCCAAACATGGATTTGTCCGGTAGGATTGAGAACCACAACGTTCGTGCTGCTCCCAACCGAAACTCTGTGCGAACATCCAGCAATGTGATCCCAAGCATCTCCACCTGTGTTGCGATGGATGCTGTAACAGCCATTGCCATAATCATGAGTTCCAATCTGCCCCACCATGAGAATGAGAGATAGAGGGAGGGAGGGATGGAGGGAGGGAAGCGATAGATAGAGAGTCATACATAACAGAGTGAGGGTTGGTTTGTGATGATACAATGAAGAAGGCGAAGAGCAATGTAGGCATTATCAAGGCATGATCGACGGATCGCACTTACCGCCCAGATGGTGCCATCTTCAGCAGCGCCAATATCCCTGACCTGGGTGGCCCCAAGCTTGTACCAATTATTACAAATGACATAGTTGCTCCCTCCATTGCGATGTTGTATCTTGAAAAGAGGTGGGTCTGCTCCTGTCATGTCAATTTTAAGACAGGTCTGCTGACCCCCACTTCCCACATTAACCCACTGATTTTCGCCATCGGAAATGGGAGCCCACTGATCTCCACCCTGTATTCCAAAAAGAAAGAGAGAGAAAGAGAAATGACAGAGGGTGAGAGGTGGGTAGTGGTACAATGGCAAAGGCCCGAGAGCCATGTAGGCATTAGATAAGGCATGATGCATGTATGGAACTTACCTGCATTCCAAAGAGAGGCCTCCCATTGGTGGTTCCATCTGGAGGGCAAATTTCCTTGATAGAAGCCAGAGATCCGCCTTGTTCCTTGCAAAAGTTTTGGGCATTAGTCCATCCATTGGCATAGCTAATTTCATCGGGTAGGCTAGCAGTCTCTCTAGGTCCATACATGCGTGTATTTCCAATCAACCAGTCGGTGGTTTCATCCAACCTTCTGCCATGACGACGGACACTGACGCATCGTCGTGTCTGCTTTCTTCTCTTCTTCTCTTCTTCTTCTTTTCTTCTCTCTTCTTCTTCTTCTCTTCTTCTTCTTCTTCTTCTCTTGGTTCTTGTCTGGCTGACTTGGTAGTCTGTAGACGCCGATGAGTGGAAATCCACGTGAATTCCATTGTGGTGCGAAGCAGCTGTGCTGGTTTAGCCAGGTGGAAGAATCGCTGTGACATTTGTATACTCCAACAGTAGGGTCAGCAGTGCAGCCATCTGGCAATACAGAAATAGCTGAGGAACTCTATATACCCAAGGGTGATGCAGTTCTTCAGCCAAGACCAATATAGAAAGTTAGCTTGCCAGCACCAGCCAAATGAGATGCAAAGAGAGCCAAAGCTGCATGGCTGAGTGCTGCTAGAGGATTTTGTGTTAGTTGATTTTACATAGTTTAAAGAAGAAGAAGTATGAAAGGATAGTTGACCAAATACAGCCTCAGTAGCACAAGTTTCCCCACAGTTGAAGCTTCCTGTGTGGATGTGCCAAGGCAAAGGGAGTTGTTCAATCATTGCTGTGGAGATGAATAGCATGGCAGCCAGCTTTTGGCTGGCCCATTCCCATGTCAAGAGAGTGAGGCTCCAAGCAGAGCTCTCCACTCCAGCCAGCTCTTGTGCATCTA